GGCACGCTCCCAGAACTTGTAGGTTTCGGCGCAGACCAGGACTGGCGTGTGCGCTACGGCAGAGACGATATTTGCTACCTGAGCAGTGCCAACTCTGGCAATCACATGCCCGTTGTTGAGTAGACTGTGAGCACCGAGGATCGTTAACGACACCTAAAAGAAATGGGTATTAATTTTGGCTAAATCGAGAGCAGAAGGATATCGAAGAAATTTCCTAATAATATGCACTGTGCTGTGGGAGGAGTCCAAAATTCGTAATAAAAGTTTAAAACATATCCCTTCGAGAACCAGAAAATTTAGTCCGAATTTGCTTAAATGCAAGTAAAGTCGAGGTTGAGGAATCCCACTTATGTTCAGAAACAAGGAACAGTTTCAGTGTTAAAAGTTATTTTCTGCCAACTTGTTGAGTTTTTCTGCCACAAGATGTAGAAACAAAAAAGGTTGACCGCATTTTATTATACGGCATCAACTATTTGGGACGTAACCGAAATTGCCCACATATTATCGTGAAGATGAAGTCAAAACCTGATTTTTATTAAATTTAACTTATGCAGAAATATAATTTTTGTACACTATAATTTCCGCTTATGCATTACTTAAAACTCGAAGAAATGCGGCGACTCTTTCTTGTATTCGTAAGCTTAGAACAGAGCCTGGAAATTATCCGCTATGGCGGAAAATGTTCCAAATAAAGAAAGCAGTGAGTTTTTTCACTTTCACCCAAATTGTATCATCGACCTTCACGTATATTAAAAAAAAAACTTGCCAAAAATCTAAATTTTAATTTTGACATTACCTTAACGAAAGGTAACTTGCAGCTATTGATAAACTGTAAATCTAAATAAAGTGCTTTTTGAAGAGGTAACCTACTATGAAAAGTTTTTTTTACTAATCTTAGGAATAACAATATCAGACTTCTTTGCGGGTGTTCTTTTTGCTCGGCAATGTGTTTTGCTGTTTGAAGGAATTTCTAAATATGGCCCACATGACCATCTTTATAAGAAGTGATATCCAAAAACTCTTTTTTGGTAAATGCTTTTAATAGATATCTTATTTTAGGGGGTTTTTATATAAACGTTGGAGGTAATCTGTAGTTGTGAACGAAAGGTTGACAACACTGAAAACGCTCGAAAATTTGACGGAATTTAAAGATCAATTTGTAACTAATTGTAACTAAATAACGGCATAATGTTTAAATTATTTTGACTAAGGAAAAGCTCTTTTATATAAAGAAAGCGATAAGGTTATCCAACCAACTTAAGATAAGATCTAAATTTATTGTTCTAATTTATAGCTACTTTTATGTTTCCGGAACTTGGGAATTATTAAGAAAATTTTATTTTTCTTACCAAACAATTAGTAATTTTACAGTTCCTTTAAGTAAAAACTTTTCTTAAGGTTTCTATTATTATTTCTAATTTTTCATACATGTGTTCGTGCCAGTATGCGAGTAAATAACAATCTTTTATAAACTTTGACATTTTTACACGCAACTCTCGCCATACCATACTCGTTTTTAAAAAGGAGAGCCAAGAAGTCGCAATACTTTGCTGGGAGTGCCTACCTTTTTGGCTACCATCGGCAGGGCTGCAATGTGCGTCAGTTCACAGGGTATGCCGGCTTTTCGCAGTTTAAAGAACATTTCACGTCCATGGAAACTCGGACGACTGTCTACAACCAGAACTGAGAAGAGGCGACCATTGCGGGCAGTGGAGTCGGAATGGTTGCGTCGCGTTGTATTCACCTCATCCGTGCTGTCTTCTCCCTGCCATGCGCGAATGAGAACCTTGGCCACCAGACTCGAGTAGCCATAGGTGCAAACACATTCACCCGGACGAATGGAGTCCAAAGCAAGTGCGGCGATGGCCTTACCGGCCAACCGGATACGGTCTCGGACAAAGAGGTCAATTTCCTCCAACAGACCGGCTCGAACCTCGTTGAAGAAGGAAGATTAGAAATGTTATCCCAGAAACAGGAAACAAAATAAAGAGACTAGAACAAAATTACCGGAGGAATTAAATACTAAGCAAACAAGTAAACATGTACAAAAATAAGAATAGTTAATCATATAAACGTTTGCTACATCGTCTTCCGGGTCAGTCAATGGTGATTCAGCTAAACTTCGATCACTCTAAGGTTAGGAGCTAGGCGTCAAAACCGCAAACCCTTACGTGA